GGGGGGGGGGGGGGGGGGGGGGGGGGGGGGGGGGGGGGGGGGGGGGGGGGGGGGGGGGGGGGGGGGGGGGGGGGGGGGGGGGGGGGGGGGGGGGGGGCGAGGGAAGGAAATATTGAGAAAGAGACCTTCACAGAGGGAAATACAGAGCAGGAAGTAGCCGTGGGGACGAAGGCGATTGAGTGCATCGCGAGTAGGGCCGTATGCCGTAAACCACCACTGCCACCCCCTTTCGCTCCGACACAGAACAAGGTGGGGAATAGACGACAAAAACTCTAGACCAGCCTACGGAGCGTAAATGTTTTTATATTCCACTCACATGCATAAGACTGATGTATTTTTGTTCGTCAGCCGGTTACCGTGGCCAATGCTAAAACAAGCAAACGCATACACACATGGATCCCCCTCCAAATAAGGGCCTTGACTGTTGCCCACTGGAGGAAGGGTGGGAGCTGGCTCTCTCCCCGGCCTATCGCGGAACTGCTGTCAGGTGCACGGTGAGGGGACTGATTCCCTGACCCACCTTCTCGCTGACGGAGAAGGGGATGTTGCCCACGAAGAGGTTGAATCCTGCAAAGTTCTTGGCAGCTTCCGCGGTTGCTGCGACACGATCCTCCGTCCAATCCTGCGCGCAGAGGGCCCGGGGGTAACCGGGTGTTGTTACTCCTTGCTGATGATGGCATTGTCGTGTTCCAGCATCGAGGCGTTATTCGCTTCTTCTGCGGCGCGTATTCCCTACCTCGTCTCTCATCTCTGGTCTCGTACATACTTGGTTGGCTGTCCCGGACCGCTTTTAACCATGTGTCGGCTGTCGTACGCGACCCGCCCCCACCTTCGACTCTCTCCCGTCCGGTGGGATCACTCACTACTACAACCTACAACGATGATGACACCGAGAACAACAAACCGTCAATTCTCCTCCTCGGCCTCTGGTGGCTACCTACACCGCCGCCTGTTTTCCGTAAGGACCGTCTTTGCTATTCATCGATCTCTCGTGCCCTCTCTAGTCCGACTTTCGCCGCTCTGCTGCTGCACGCACCTTCATCAAGAAATTTTCCGTGAGCGTGAGCGCACGTTCCGCCGTCTGGAACCACCGGTTGCCGCACACGGAGCACTCGATGATTCGCCCCCTGCCGAGAACCTTTTGGGGAATCGCTCGCCCAGGAGAAGACGACGAGGACCAGGGAGATGGAGAGGTACATAGACGAAAGAGAGAAAGGCAAGAGGAGAGAGAGAGAGAGAGAGAGAGAGAGAGAGAGAGA